CTATACAGGTTTTGTGAATTCTAGATCAGTAGTAATCATGATCTACAAATTTACCCTTACCAAATATATCAAATAAAGAATATACATGATATATGCTTTTCTTCTTTTCAGAGACCAGCTCTTGTAAAGGAACTCTGACCCGAATAGTCCACTGTACTAGAGTTTCGTATAGTTTAATAACTGATAGCATATTATATCATCTTTTAGTTTTAAAGAGTTTATCAAAGAATTGTTGATAATCATTAATACAACTATATTTATAAATATATGATTTTATATATTTCATATCATATCCATGATGATTATTAATAAGTTTTTGCAATTTAGCTTTTTATCAATAATAATAAAAATAACAAGATCTGACATATTTAACAATTTAATAGACTTATTAGTATATTTGGTGATTATATAAGTCTTATAAACCTAACAGATTTTATTAAATATACTAATAAATATCACAATTCATTTTTTGTGCATTCGAAATAAACTTAAAGTCTTAATAATATATAATAATAGAATTACATGAAAAATATCTTAATATATGAGCTCATCTGAAAAAATTTATCTTTATATATAGTAGAAAGATCTATTTGTACCAATTGTTATAGAGTGAATGCAACTCAGAGAAAAATAAAAAATGAGATTAAATTGTATTTTATGCAGTCTAATCAAATCACTTAATTGATTATTTTTACAGACTGAAAAACCACCCAAGCCAAAGTACTAAGCTATCAGCAACGATGACTATATCCTTTTGAATATACAATATACAAAGTTAGAGGCTCTATTGTCAAAAGTTTTTACTCTTACAAAATTTTTTGTATGACTAAGTATACTTATAACAAGTAGCCTAGATGATTGATCTATCAATGCAATATAATCTTGTACAAGAAAATAAAAACATATTACTTGCTCAATTCTAACAGGTTATGTACTTATATAAATTTTAAGATAGATATATTCAAAGCTATTTCTTATTTCGTAGCTCAGTAGACTAAACTGTAAGAAGCTCATTCGGTTTTTCTCTTCTTACTAAACAATTATAATCTGATAATTATGCCCTCTATAATAGTATTTTTATAAGCAAAAAAAAACAAAATTAGAGGCTTTATTGCTTAATAAAAATGAAATTTTTTGCATGACTATTAGAAGAAGAAGTAAATTGCAAAGAGGTAATAGTCAGATTCTAAGCTTGCCTTGAAAGGCTATAACTATATCTGAGAAGACTATATATTAAAGGTATAGTTAGATTGTGTATTTTCATGAACTAGACAAATCACTTTTGTTAAAGCACAGGACTATCATAGCTCTGTTGAATTCTATGAACCTATACAAATAACTTAAATGACCATCTAATCAATATAAAGGTAATTTAGTGTAAAAAAAAAAATAGAATATCAGTAAAAAATTTTGGTTATAGAATAAAAAAAGATTTATATACAGAGATACTATTGTCTTATCTGTTATATATAATAATTAATCTAGGTCATCCATATTGCTACATGGTTTACATATAATTGTTAGTCTCATATTTGTTTTTAAGGGCAGATTATTTAATAATCTATAAATATTTATATACCCCAGTCGTATATTAGAAATATTTTTTTCTAATTTTACACAATGAATAAAGCATGTTTTAGATATTCAATCAATACACATCATAATTTTTTGAGACTAAAATTGTGATATATTTGGTACTTCAGCTCATCTACAAATTTAGAATAAGCATTATAATATATACTGGGCTGTGAATATTTGAGGTGCAGGTTTGTTTTCAAAAATACTTGTAAATACATATATACAATATTTTAATTCTATCAACTATAATAACAGAATTTTAAATTTTTGAATACTATCATGGGTAAAGGTCTTATCTGGTCAAAAATTTGTATTCGAATATTCATTTGTTCAATACTTTTAATATTTGAATATTCATTGAAAAATTTTAAATAAATATTCAAATATTCATTGAATATTCACTAAATATTATATATAGTATAAACTAATTTTATATTTTATTAATACTATAATTAAATAGCTAGCTAATAGTTAATATATAAAATTAAAAAAGTTTAAAGCAATTTTAATTATTTAAATAAATATAAAAACATAATTTATTAGAATTTAATTTAACATTTTAAATATTAAAAAAAAAAAAAGAATTTAATTTAATATTAATTATTAAAAAACAAATATATTAAAAAATATAGTTATATCTAAGTTATATCTTTACTAGATTATATCTCAACTTGAGTTATATTTGCAGAATAAATTTCTTTTTTTATATAGTTTTATCTATTTTATATATTGAGTTATATCTCTGCCTTAGTTATATCTTCAAAAATGCTTTAAAAAAAGAAATGATATAATTCAGATATGATTGTATTATGGGGTTATATTTAAATTTATAAAAATTTTATATCTATTAATAAATAATTTTATAGTTAATACTATAGTCAAACCTTTCTAAATACTATCCCCTAAATGCACGTTCTATGAAACACCTCCTTAAATGCACGTCTTCTCTTAGGCCCAACTAATATTATATCTATAGATTTTTATCTCTCTAAATGCAATACTTCTCTAAGTGCATGTTTGACTAAATTTTTATATATAGTCCTGTCGTATTGTATTTAGAGAGGTATGACTATATATTAATATTTATATTTAATATACTTTATATTTATAAATTAATTTAGTGCAAGTAGAATAAATATACTAAAGCCATTATATCTAATTTTAGATTTAACTAATTAATTAGATGATTTAAATATATATATATTTAATGAATATTCAATGAATTATTTAGTGAATAAATTAAATATTCGAATATTTAATTTGATGAAAAAATCTTATTCAAATATTCGAATATTTAGTAAATATTCAAATATACTATTCATTGGATCAAACCTCTAGTCACAGATACTAATCATGGGTATCAAATCACAGATAAATCTATAAATTGTTATCTTCTGCTGATTAAACTCTAAAAATTTTCTGTGATCATTTTGTGATGATTATATCTAGTAATTAATCCACAAAATTTTTTCCAAACCATAATTTTTAGCCAATTAGTTCAAAAGATCAGGTGTAAAATAAAATTAATACATGAAAACAAAACAATCAAATAAACGAAAGATTTAATACAATAAATATTATCTTAGGGTTAGAATTAAGGTCAAGGGATGGGCATAGATTATACAAAATTTTGCAAGGAATTTTTTTGTTAGAACATATAAAGCAGTTTTATAAACAAAATTTCAAGTTATTGGTAATTTTTGTAAAAGGTGTAATTTTCATGTTATACCTAATCTTTCAATTTAATTGGCTAAAATCACATGCTGGAAAAAATTTTATGGGTGAGCTAGAGAGGTTGTGATGGTTTGCCTAATTATGAGATTAAGACTAGCCCACATTAAAATTTTATACGATGTTACTCTCTTGCAGAATTAATTCTCACAGTTGATTTTTAATGAATATTACAAATAATACCTAGACCCTTTTCCTTACTTTATACGATCTCACAATAAGAATAGGACTTAAAAAAGCTATAAGGGCAATGAGTACAACATTTTTTATCAATAGTTTTATCAAAATTCATATATTGTATAAACTCAGAATCTCTGCCATCTCCAAGATCGTCAAATCTAAATCTACCTTGTAATTGTCAAATCTAAGGGTTTAATTTCATCTAAAAAATAATAAAATTCATTTAGTATATGGAGCTTACAACCGAAATGGAGTTGCTCTGAAAGTGTGATCTGGCAGTGCTAAAGTAATGTGATTAATAATCATGTAACTTTTTTCTGACAGGCTTTTTAGAACTAGCGAATAAACAGTATAAAAAAAACAAGTTTCTACCCATAAAATAAGTTAGCAATAATATTATTTTTTGCTTATATATTTTTTTCTTGATTCTCTTGCACCGTATTTTTTTTAAGTAATTTGCTATTTTGTTTACTGAAGACTATGAAAATGAATTTTTTCTTACTATGATTTTTTTGTATTTAGATAGGAAAAATGTGCAGTAATAAAAAAACCACCACTACCAAGACTAATAACACCAACACCACCCTCAAGACTAATGACACCACCACTGTGAGTAATAATATCACCACCCCCACGACTAATGACAATAACTCCTCCAAGATCTATTATATACTCCAATACCACCCAATCCAAGACCTAGCCAAAGGACACCTAATTCCAATCACCAACGTAGAAGTAGGAGAAACAGATATAGTAGGAGGTAACTTTTATTAGAAAGCGCTCTTCATATATTTGTGAAACTAAGACTAAAACTTATTTTATTGGGCCATGTCCATGCATTAAATTAGATGATTCAACCTATGACCCCAGAGAAGATGATGACTATAACATTGATAAAGGCAGACCCTTGGACAATTTTTCAAAAGAAAATTCAGAATGGTGTGAGGAAAATGATTTCAATGAGTATGAGAATCCTGGACAATGACAAGAAAGGCTAAATCAAAATTAATAAATAGTTCATATATATATATTGTTGTTCATTGGGCAACAATTTTTATAAAATAAAGAAGGGGGGCAGTGACCTTGCCATTTTTTACTTTAATGTGATTTTATAAAATAAAGACTATTTATGGCACATCGTGCTTCTGACTTTACCTCTCTGCCAATTTATACCACCTGGCATTCGCATAAATGCTCATGCCCAGATTAATAATTATTGTTATAATAAAATTTCTCTCCAATAAACGGAATAAATTGAGTTTCAACAATATCTAAATTAAGCCAAATGATATCGATATTGATACTCAAAAGTTATAATTACGCACACACTGTCCCATATATCAGATGATGTTGTGACCTGGGGTCACATTCTATAAAATAAGTTTTCGTTTTGCTTGCAGATATTGATATAAATAATTTACTAATAAAAAAACAGTAAAAAATATTTAAGTATCAAAACAATAGACAGAGTAATGGGCTTCACTATGTATATATCAATAAAATCGGTTTCATTATTTTTTACTGACCGAAACGAACATAAAATATCTATTGTTAAATGCGCTAATTAAATGATCTGATTTTCTATAAATTTCGCCGGTATTTAAATTGTAATAATATCTTTCATCCTCATTATCAGAAAAACCACAGAACTCTCTATCATCTTTATTGTTATTAAAGGAACCCTCATCATCGGAGTTATCATCATTAGAAGATTCCTTATTATCATCTTCATCCTCAGTATCTTTGGTAAATGTATTTACTTTAACTTCCGGTAATTTTAAATCTTGATCATTTTCTGGAGATGAATTGGATAATATACTTATCTTATTTTTTGAATTGAAGGTATGAGATGTGGTTACCTTAGCTGAAATCAAAGGAGCATTAATCTGATCATTACGATTCGTGACGAAAGTCACATGATTACAATTTGGTACCTCCGGTATCCTTCCTGCCAAAGTCACATTCTTGATAACACTTTGAATTTGATTAATAGTAAGGCTTGAAATGTCATAAATACTGAAAGTAATCTGTTTAATTTTATCTATTCCCACTCCGCCTTCTCCAAATAACATACAGATTTTTTTAGCTCGTAGGGTTTTCATAGCAAGTTTCCCAATATGATGCCGTGTAGATGCTCTAGCATTTCTTTGTATATTTGTGATCTAGCTGTTTTATCTGAAGCCCCAGTGTCATTGCGAATCTCATCAACTTTATTTTCAAAACTATTTGAATAATAGAGCCAAGATAAGATTATCTTGTGTTTAGCTTGTATTGTATTCTAGAATAAATGGACTAAGTTTTGCGTCATATCTAGAGATGATGGATGTAACACCGAAGGTATCTGTTCCGTAGCATCAAAAGAGATTAATGGAGCAGAAATGATACTGCTGAGCAATTCTTTTGTTAATTCTTGCTCTACAACCTGACTTTTAGTGAACTCAATGTTATCATCATTATTTTTCTAAGACGTAGTAATGACCAGAATATTTTTTTGCCAATCATCACGTTTTGTGACAGAGTTTCCACTATTTTCCGAATTTTCCGGACTGCTCTGATCATGACTCTTCACAAAAGAAATATCCTGAGAGATTGGAGATGCCTCTTGATTAGCCGATTCATGCAGGAGTTTCTTCTCCCTATTGCGCTGTCCAATCTCATCACTAACCTTTTTCTTATGCACCTCATTCAAGAAAGCATCTGTTTCCTTGTCTTCCAAGGATGTCTGATCACATTGGTCCATAACAGGTATATTAACAGCTAGCTCTGGTAACCCTTCTGGTATCGGTTCTTCAGGTAATGAAGTATCCATTTCCATAGGTAACTGATCTGCAAGCGAATTGAAGTTAGGCGAGCTGTTATTAGAAGAATTGATTACCTTAGAAACATTATCACTTAGCATCTGCCTCTGCTCTACTTTCATGATCCTATCTCTAAATTCTGCATTTTCAGACTCGAGTTTAGCTATAACTGTCTTATTTTTCTCTAGTTCCACAATTATGGTATTAAGTTTGCCAATCTCAACTGAATAATGCGATATAGTTTCCTCTAGCTCATCAGTTCTGGCCTTAAGCTCTTGTCTCAATTTCATTTTCTCAACCTCATCCTCAGCAACCTTCTTCCTAAGCTCACAAATCTCAGCCAAGAGCTTGGTATTTAATTCCCTTAATGAATTGTTGGATTGAGTATTTGTCATGATGGATAGTATTTTTATATAAGATATAAAATATTCAATAGTCTGTTAGTATATAAAAAGATATGTCATGATATCGGTACTATTCATTCTGCAATAAAAATTTGCGGTCTCGGAAAATTGTCAAGAAAAAATTTTTTTATTAATACACTTAGATTTTTATTTCACATCGACACTTTTGCCAAGAAAAAATATTAATATGGTAGATAATATAAAAAATATATCATTCAATTGTGATCTCAAGAATAGCATTAGGAAAACTAGTCGTTTTCGTTATCTTTACTGACCGAGTCAGTCATGCGATAAAATCGTTGGATTACATCCAACAAGTGTAAAATGCCAAAAAAAATTTTAACAATTCTCAAACCCTGCGATTAGATACAGTTCAATATAGTTTCATTC